ACTTCTGGTGGCGCCTTTGGCTTTTCGAGACGTCTGCGGTAGCAGCCACTTGAGCATCTCGCCGAGTGGAACATCAAAGGTACCTGTGTTGGCCTCCATGAGCAGTTGCAGGTCGAGGACCTTTACGACGTCGTTGGCGGCAGCAAGGCGCCAGAGCGGCATCATCAAATGCACATCGTGGACGACCTTGAGGATGCGTGGTGACGAGAGCAGTGGGACGAGCAACGCCGGCTGTATCACCGAGCAGTCGAGATCGAACACGTGGTCGTCGACGGCCAGCTCGAGATGCAGGCGACCTTGGTCGTCGTTGCGGCAGCCCATGGCCACGACCGCCGTCTCGGACACAGCTGCGCCCAATACAGGGTGCGTTATCACCGTCGTCGCCCAGTCGTTGATCGTCTGGATGCGCACGACATGGCGGTGCTTGGACGCGAGAGTCTCGGGCTCGGTACGTGGCACGTCCATCTCGGGCTCAGGCTCCGCCACCTCTAAGCGATCGGGTTCGCAAGCGGTGTCATCGAGCTCTGCTATGGACTTTGGAGTCGAAGGCACCGCGTTTCGGTCGGGCGGTGCTGCAGGACGTTTTGCCTTGGAGAAGTAGGGCCAGTCTTTACTGCTTGTCGGTTGATGAAACTCGACGCGCGGGTCCTTCTTGGCGCGGCGCACGACCGCGTCAGCGAGCGCGTTCTGTTTGTAAAAGCCGACGCCCGGAATGTGGAGCACAAAGAAGCGAGGGACGCGACTCAGAGTCTTCAGCATGCGCTCCATGAACGCAGGTAGATGCGCCTGCACGAGCTCGTCGGTGACAACGAGAGACGCCGCACTCCCGTGGGGAGAGAGACGGCGCTGCACAAAGTAGCCGCGACCGAGCTCGTCCGTCGCGTAGCGCAGCCGGTGATCGGCTGTGAGCGCGGCCACCACGGTCGCTGTCGCCGCTTCGACGTTACCGCCGAGTGGCAAGAGCGTTCGCACTTGGTCGGTGACGTACGACACAAAAAAGCTCTGGCCGTCGCGCACCCACGCGAGGATGGGCTCGAGAAAGGCGTCGGCGTGCTGCTGGACGAGGCTCTTTGTCTGCAAGAAGCGGCGGTCGCGGTACTTGACGTCCGGGTGCGCGAGCTGCCGTATAGCGTCCGAGGCCAGTGGACCTTGCAACCGTTGACGCACATCGTCTTTATCGTATACGTCGCGCGCATCGAGCATGCGCTGTGTCAAGAACGCAGAGTTGTTCGAGAAGACCTGGTCGACGTCGGTCGCTTGACAAATGCGTTGGGACATTTGTTGGCATGTGCGACTTGGGCTTGACGCGTGACGGGTTCGTCGCTTGAGTTGCGCGCGGTGGCCAGTCCCCAAGAGCACAATTCCCTCGTCGGCCGTAACGTCGGAAAGGACCGCGTTGAGAACTCGGTCGACGACCGGCGCTGGGACGTCAACAAGCAGACGCCGGACCTTGGCCACCGAAAAGACACCATCGTATAGTTGGAGCGCCGCTCGGACAGTGTCGGATGCCCGCGCAATGTGTAGCTCGAGCGATGCAGTGTCAATCGCGGGTGCCGACGTAAAGTATGGCGACTTGCCGTCGACGTACTGGAGGCGGTCGTCAGCTCGGAGGGCGGCGACGACGGCGCGGACGACGTCGGTGCCAACGACGCCAACCGGCAAGAACGCTTCGACTTGGTTGTCCATATTGGCCACGTAGAACCGATGGCCGGCGCCGATGATGGACAGAATCGAGTCCTTAAAATGGCGCTCGTACTCGTTGACAAGCGCGGCGATCGTGCGCGGCGACGTCTTCTGCGCGCGCCAAGCTGTCTCTGGGGCGTGCGCCAAGACTGCGTCCGGGCCTCGACCGAGCAGCGCAACGTGCTTGACCGTCGCGAGCGCGTGCGCGATGGTGTCGACGAGGACATCGACGTCGCTACGGACGCCGGCGTCGAGAAGCCAGGTGCGGATGATGGCGACGGGGTACTGCAGCTGGCTCGAGCGGGCGAAGAGCGACGTCATGCGTTGGCGGTGGTGGGCGACGGCGGTCGCGAGCCAGGCGCCGTCGACGAAGCCGGCCATGGCTTCTGGCGGAATTGCGACCAAAACAAACGGCAAGATGCGTTTTGATTGGCTATTGAAATTGGAGTGGCTTTGTCCCATCAAAGTACACTTGAAGACCATCGGTGGCTCATCCAGTCCAGTCGCTGCCACTCATACTGTCTCGCAATCTTCGCAGACATACTGTGCACGCTAGACTGTTGAACGACGCGCAACGCTGTGACGGTTTTGTCAGCTGACTCTAAAACTCAAGCTCAAAATCACGCTTTGTTGCATACGTTTGAGATATCGTGATCAAACGACAGCCTTTGGCCTCCACCTTGTACGATCACTCAGTCTAAAGCACGCGACTCAAATGAATCATCCGGAGTCGCTCGGAAGCTCACTCGATGCTGCTGCGTCGTTGCGTAGAGCCAAGAGCCCCGAGATGTTGAAGTGTCAAGGCCTGCCCCTGCGTTTTGGCGCTCGAAGTGAGAGGAGGCTCGGACTTGAGAGCGCAAATTGGAAACTGAATAAAGATGTTATGTATGAATTGGTTAGTATCTGTCAAGGACACGCTGGACCAGTATGGAGAGACGATGCCGAGGACCAGGTCCAGAACCCGAAGCAAGTGTGCGAGTGCGGTTCTCGGAGCAAAATTAAAGTTTGTATTATAGGTCTATTGGCACCTCCACTAACCTGCGTAAAGGACTCTGGCCCACAAGCACGATCAACAAGTAAACGACGTTGGCAAAGCAAGCCTTATTAGCAAGCTACCGTGTGGAATGCATGATTGTTTTTGCTGTCTTTGATTGGCTATTTAAATTGTATTTTCAACCAATCCCACGCGATCACAGACGGAACACCACCCCCGGCGAACTGCTTGGTGCGCCAAATCGAGTTGGATATGAAATCGCTCATACTTGGCACAGTGAATGAGGACACTTTGGAGGTCCCGAAATGCTACTCCTCGTCGGCGTGCGAGGCTTATGACGATAATTATGTACTATCAAATATTACTCGCGGCATATGCCACGAATAAAGCCAGGAGCTGCCACATTTAACCGCACCAAGTGCACAAGCCGACGCTGGGCAAATTTACCGCGCTTCGAATGCCTGAACTACAAACGCGTATGTATATGACGTACAAAGCGGTATAACAGCATGTTCCACTGCATTTCGTGCCGTATCTCGATGTCTGCAAGCGCTGCCAAGACTGTGCAGGTGTAGCTCATCTCAAAGATGCGAGCGAAGCCGCGACCAAGTGCAGGACGACGCCCATGGTCTCTGCTTCGTGTCCCGTAGTGCATAGAGAGAGCGCTCTTCAAGAAGCTGACACTCTTGACTCAACGGAGCGACTGCTCGTGTCCTCCACTCCAGAGGTTTTGTTAGGCCATGTTGAAGTGGCTCAAGTTGCGTGCGACTAGCCTCCGCAAGGCGAACTTAATCGAATGTAGTCATAAGTGCGCTCGTGGGCGAATCCATGCGCACTTAATTGGGACGCGCCGCTCGGGTGTTTTGGCAGCGGCGAGAAATGACCGAACAATTGGAAATTTATCAGTGGCCCTGGGCAGACGGGCATGAGCGAGAAGGACGCCGAGGTCATGTCGATGGATGGCGACGACGTGGAAGAGGACCTCGACGAGATGTTCGGCTCCGACATGTCGTCGGGCTCGGACTCGGACGCGCCGCTCAAGCCGCCGCCGGCCAAGTCAGAGAAGCCCAAGGCGGCCAAGCTCCTGCCCGACTCGTCCGTCACCGCGACCGTGCCTGCGACCGACGACGAAGCCTCGGAGGACAACGAGCACGAGATGGCGCCGTGGGAGCAGATCGACTTGAAGCCGGCCATGGACCTGGTGCGTATCTTCTTGAAGCAGTGGAATCGCTCATGAGGCGCGGTAGATCCGGTCGCTCACCGACACAAGCCTCGAGGCCGCGCGTGACTTTACCGCGTCTATGGTGGCCAACACAAACCAGCTCGTCGTCGGCTGCGACAGCGTGCTCCTTGAGATCAAGCACATCTCGGACATTCGCGAGACGATGAAGCGACAAGCCAAGGCGGCGCCCGCGAGCACCGCAGCCACCGGCGTCGCGTGCGCCTGCGGCACCTCCATGATGCCGCTTGGCGTGTTTCCACAGAGCGTCGTGGCACCGACCGCGCCCGCAGCGCCCGAGACGCCCGTGCTCGACAAGTCGACCGAAGATCAGACCGACCGCGTCTTGTACAAGATCGAAGCGGCCATGGAGAAGTTCCGCGAGCTCGCCGAGATGGTGCAGACCATGAGCGTGCAGCACGAGGCGTCGCTCATGTCCAAGCTCGCGATCCCGCAGACCGCCGTGCAGACCATGGTCTCGAGTATCCACTCGGCGGCGGCCGCCGCGACTGCCGCCGCGATCGCGCAAGAGCGGGGCGGTCCCTCCCGGGGCACGGGCCCGGGCTACTCGTTTACGAGCGAGCAGCGCACGAAACTGCAGATCTGGTACTACTCGTACCCGCGGCCGCTGGCCGACGAGCTCGAGCTCATGGCGCAGATCTTGTCGCTGCCACCGTACCACAGCCTTTCGCGTGCCCCGGTGCACCCGACTCACGTCCGCGATTGGTTCAAGCGCCGGCGGTTCCGCGAGCGCATGCGCCATGTCATGCAGGTGCTCGAGGCCGGGACGCTGTCGCTCACGAGCGCCGAGGCCGAGGTGCACGCCAAAATCGAGCTGCGCATCCAGACACTGCGCGAGGCCGTCAAGCCCGAAGAGCTCGTACATATGGTGTCTATTGTATCCCAATATCTCATATCTGAGTGTGGTAGATTCGGGAGCTAGAAGCGGCGCGGGCCAACAGCGCAACGTACGCGACGGTCGCGTCGTCCTTTGGGAAGAAACGCAGCTTGGACCAGTTTCTCTCGATGGCGCAGCAGCTTGGCCAGCCCGCGCTCGTGCTCGAGACGCCGGTCGCAGCGGCCGTCAAGAAGCCGCGCGCCGGCATTCTCGGGGACCCGATGGAGGTCGAGGACGCTGTCGTCGTCAAAGTCGCCAGTCGCGTCGAAGTGCAAGCGATCCAAAACCGCCTCCAAGCGCTTCTGCAGCTGCCCAAGACGACCTCCAACACCAACGGCATCCAGCAGGTCATGGACCTCCTTCGGTCGATGGAGATCTCCAACGAGGTCCGCGTCTCGACCAACCTCGTCGCCGACCTCAAGACTGTCCTCAAGATCTACAAGAAGCCGTCGCTGCTCCGACGGACGACCGAAGCGCTCATGGAAGCCCTCGGGCAGCCGGTGGACGTGAAAAAGAAGAAGCGGTACGCGGCAGGCGCCGACGTTCTCGGGCACGCGCCCGCCGTTGTCGACGAATACGACGACGCACCGATGCCGCCGGCCGATGGCCACGACGACGCCGAGAGCGAGGACGACCAGCCGATCCTCAAGCAAGCCAAGAGCGCGAGCAGCACCAGCCGCCGAAAGAAGACGGGCGCCAAGCTCCACCGCCCGATGAAGTTTTCGATGAAGCAGGTCGAGGCGCTTGAAGGGTGGTTTCAAAAGACCTTCAAGCCCTCTGTGCCCGAGATGGAAGAGTACCTTGGTCGACTCAACGCGGTGCCGCTGCGCGACCCGCTCCAGACAATCGACGTGAGCATGACGCAGCTGCGTCGATGGTTCAACAAGCGGCGGTGCCTCCGCCGACCACCGTTCGCGCTCATGGCCAAGGGCGACGAGAAGGACGCGACGAGCAGCCAAAGCCACGACGAAGAAGACGAAGAAGACGACGAAGATGACATGGACGACGACGACATGGCGAGCGAAGAGGAGGCGCGCGCACCGCTGCCACCGCCGTCGCCGTCACCACCGCCGCCACCGCCGATGCCGCCGACGTCGATTCTGCTGCCGCGCGAAGGGTCCGACTCGAGCTCCGATAGCAACGACAGCAACGACAGCGACGACGACTCGAGCGACTCGTGAGCTCCGTCGGTACATACGTGCACGAGCATAGGGAAATAACATATTAAAGAGCAGTTCAAGTACTTGGTCGGTTTCCTGGTGCCACGTCACCAACCTATCTACTGTATACTATACAAAGAAGAGGTTTCCTGGCAAGCATGCTCTTGCGCTTTGTATACCATACAAAACGAAAGGTATGTCGTCGGCAAGACTTCAGCGGACGAGACAGGCGAGCAGGTGATTCCTCGACCATCGACGTCCGCATCAAGATGCAGCAGCGCAAGCTTGGCAACCAAGGTCTCAGCGTCTCGGCCATCGGCCTTGGCGCCATGGGCATGACCGCCTTCTACGGCGACTTTGACCGCGAAGCAGCTGAAGAGACCAACATTGAGACCATCGGCAAGGCGCTCGAGCTCGGCATCAACATGATCGATACGGCGTGGATCTACCAGTCGTTTGGCATTGACGGCAAGCCCAACGTCTACAACGAAGCGCTTGTCGGCAAGGCTCTCAAGCGCTTTGGCCGCGACAAGTTTGTCATTGCGACCAAGTTTGGGCCGGGCTTTGGCGCCGACGGCAAGAGCTTTGTGAGCGGCAAGCCCGCGCACATTCGCGAGCAGCTCACACAGTCGTTGGAGCGCCTCAGCATCGACTCGGTGGACCTCTACTACATGCACCGCATGGACCCGTCGACGCCCATCGAGGAGACCATGCAGTGCCTCAAGGAGCTCGTCGAAGAAGGCAAGATCAAGTACGTTGGCCTCTCCGAGTGCTCGTCCAGCGAGCTGCGTCGCGCCCACGCCGTGCACCCAGTCTCGGTCATCCAGATGGAGTGGTCGCTCACGACGCGCGACCTCGAGGCGACTGTCGTCAAGACGGCGCGGGAGCTCGGTGTTGGCATCGTAGCCTACTCGCCGCTCGGCCGCGGTCTTCTGACAGGTACGATCACGGCGCTGGCGGATCTTTCGGAGAAGGACCGGCGCCTCCACATGCCTCGGTTCCGCGACGGCAACTTTGAGAAGAACGTGCCGAACGCCTTCTTCGACCTCGCAGCGCGCAAGCACGTGACACCGGCGCAGCTCGCGCTCGCGTGGGTCCTGCATCGCGGCCACGACGTCGTCCCGATCCCTGGCACCAAGTGCATGGCGCGGCTCGCCGAGAACGCGGGCGCGGCGGCCATCCAGCTCTCGGACGCCGAGCTTGACGAGATCGAGCAAGCGATCCCGAGCGCCGTCGGGGACCGCTACGACCAAGCCGGCATGCAGGCGGCGTTCAACGCCCGCGAGCTCTAACCCCACAACAAGGTTCTTGCGTTGGCACAGCATTGGTGGAGCAACCTTGGGCGGTCGGCTACTCGGAGCGGCAGCGCGACAGTGAGAGTAGCTACCACCTGCAGAGATGTGATTGAAATTGCCTCTGAGAAGCAAATAGCTTCTCGACCGTGGACTGTGTTTCGTTTTCTGCGGAACCGACGAGTGCGATAGGAGCACCACTCGCCTCATCGCAGCACATACCGCCCGCTGACGTTCTAGTGCACCTCGCATGCTAGTCACATCGATATACGCCGTGTAATGAATCTCTACCTAGCAAGTTGCTACAGGCTTCCGCGCTGGCAACAATCAACCACGCGCTTATAGTCGATTCTGCAGTCGAATTCAGTCGCTGTTCCGTCGTCATTGGCGGTCGTCGGACGAGATGTCGCGACAAAGCTACTCGCGTTCTATCCTTGTGCTCGCGTCAAGCTCAAGCTTCGCAATGCCCGAGCGCCTGTCGTCTGCGTACGCTCAGAACGCCGAGCCAGGATTCGCATCAGCCACGTCACGCATGCATCGTTGGTCGGTGGTGCGCCTCAGATCTTAGTCGATGGTAGGCTGCAGTAGGAGACGATGTTAAGTCGCTGCGATATGTGGGCGGAACTTGGGCTTGAAGCAAACCTGAAGTTTACGCTCTCTCTTACTGAAATGGAGGAGGAGGAGGGAGGAACAAGCAAGCGAGGGGGCGCTAATGGCCCTCGACCGGTCGCTCCTGGGACTGCGTTTCGAATCGCCGGCGAGATATGCGTGGATTCGATATCTTTTGGCAAGCACCAATCAGATTGCAGGATTGCCTTTCGATATTTTAACATGGACCAATCAGACGCGAGAATGCACAAGCGCGTCTTGGGCGGAGGATAGCTCATTCGACAAGACGCGCTGTCCATGCCACTGCTTCCGTTCTTCCAGGGCGTCGTCGACGCTGCATGCCCGAGCAACGGCCTGCGCAAGGACGTCGCAGCGCTGCAGGCGCAGCTCATGGCCAAGACGTCCGAGTGCCACAGCCTCGCGCGCACGGTCACGCAGCTCGAAGAGGCGCTGGTGCGCCGCACCGACGAGTACGATGCCGTGCTCCAAGCACTCACACGCGCCCAGTGCGTGATTCGCGGCTTCCGCGCCGACACAGATACGTACCTCGAGGCGGTCGAGGCGAGTCGCCGCGTGGTCAAGCGCCTCGAAGCCGACCTGCAGGTGCAGCATGCGTTGAACCTGGAAGCCAAGATCTCGCGCATGTCGCTTGAGCTCCAGATGATCCGCCACAGGAATCAAACCGACGAGATCATCCACGGTCTCGAGTCACAGCTGCGCTTGGCCCGCAACACGGTCGACATGTGTGCGCAGCGAGAAGCTGACGCGGCCGACGAACTCGAAGCCGAGTCGGGTGCATTACAAGCCCGCGTGCTTCGATACCTCAAAGATGCACCGCGAAGCAGCGTCGGGAGCACCCAAGCGGCAGACGACGATGAAGACGACTTTTTCGATGGCGATGACGACGACAGCTCCAGTGACGAAGACGATGACACGCCGATCGTCCGGCCGCGGTCCGGGTCTGCTTGTGAGCTCGACCGGCGACGACCGACGACGATGGGACAGCTCCTCGCATCGCTTCGGCCCTCGCACCGCACCTCCACAGGCTCCATCGCTCGGCTCGTCAAGAAGCCGAGTCTCTCCAAGTGCAACGCGCACAGCCGCGTCTTCTCCAAGGACAGAGTCACGCGCTGGCGTCTCTGTCAAGTCATGTCCCCTAGCGTCAGTTCCAAAGCCGTGTTTGGCTCCTACACGCCGTAGATTATACAGCGCAATCGTAGCGTATTTACCATCTTTGTCAAGCGGTTGCCTTCCGCATGCAGAAATTCGACCTCTGCGACTAGCCAAATGCATCGCAAGCAATAGCATACACTGTTTTTACGTAACCGAATATCCAAACAGTGTTTGGACGTGATCCCACACTTGACCCAACTCCTTTCCCGCACGTCGTCGGTCGCGCGGGTTGCATGCGTTCACCCTCCCGCGACGGTCTGGTCGATTGTCGTATGACCTTGCGGCCGTGTCCCTCGATACCGCCAGGTCGCCGCGCTGGACTCATCCGCACCCGCCAATAAGATCTATAGCCAGCTCAATGCGATCTTGGAGAGCCATACGTGGCTGCGCAAAATTATATGACATGCTTATGCTCGGCCCTGGAACGTGCTGCTCATCTCAGCGTCGGCGTAGCGTCCGCCGACTTGCTCCGGAATCGACTGTTCGATCGCAACGATCTCGTCGGGCGTCAACTGCACCGTCGCCGCTCCAGCGTTCTCAATCAAGCGCGCCTGGCTCTTCGTGCCCGGAATCGGCACCACATCATCGCCGCTAAAACAAGACAGTGTAAGTAAATGGTCCTAGCATTTGACGAGATGTACCGGTGGAGGACCCAGGCGAGGGCCAGCTGCGCGGGCGTGACGCCCTTGGCCTTGGCAATCGCAAAAAAGTCTATGGCAATGTTCTTGGAGAGGTTCTCTGCGGCGAAGCGCGGGTTGCCCTTGCGCCAGTCCTTGGCGTCGAGCGACTCGATCGACGCGATCGCGCCCGTCAAGAGACCGCGGCCGAGCGGCGAGTAGGCCACGATGCCAACGCCGAGCTCCCGCGCCGTCTTGGCGACCGAGTCTTCAATGTCACGGGTGTTGAGCGACCACTCCATCTGGAT